TTTTGAAACGGGAAAATCACTCGAACACTTGAGTTTTCCCCATAGCATCGTCCTTGTACGCCATTTTTAAAATTTTAAGAGTTTCTGTTCCACTTTTCCCGAGCAAAAAGCAGAATTTCACCGCCGCACGCTGTTTACGAAAATCAGCCATTGCAAGAACGACGATCACACAAAACAGTTGTCACTATAAACTCTGCCGAAACTAGTCCTTACCTTCTGAAGCAACAGTAGTCGGCTTATCGACTCAGGAATGTTAGCTCTATGCGCTCATAGCGGCAAAACGCGGTACTACAAAAGCTCTGCCCACAAAAAAAAATATTTCGGTTTCTTTTGGGTACCCCATCGTAATTTTCGAAATGGAAAATTAAACGTACGCCAAAGACTTCACGTTTCGATGTCAACAGTAGTGACACAAGGAATCCTAATTAGCCTAGAGCACGCAGTCCGCAAAATGAAACTAATGGCTCGAAACTGGTCTACCTACGTACCCACCCACCAGTCTATCTATCTATGGCTCTACAGACATTTGTTGGACCTTGGCCGCTTTTTCAGTCTCTTGATCTTTTACACAGTCCGTAGGACTCCTTGGATGGGGGATCAGCCAGTCGCAAGGCCTCTACCTGCACACACAGGAGTGCATACACAGAATGAACGCAAACTGACATCCACGCCACGAGTGGGATTCGAACTCACGATCACAGTTAATGCCTTAGACCGCGCGACCACTGCGATCAACTCGAAATTTGTCTGGGTATAAATCAGTCCGTATTCATTTTTTCTAGTAATTCTCGCTACTGAATCAGACTATTTAATGCAAAGGAAAATACTCTCTAGCATTGAATTTCCTTCGGTACCGCAAGTTTTTTATTCCATACCCTCTTGAACAAAAGTAAAACTAATGTCTACAAACTGCATACAGTAGTTTAGTGTTAACTTTCGTGATTTAAGAAGTGACTTGACTTTACCTGTACCAGAACCTGTCTCCTTGATATACCACTCTCCTCCCCCTTATGATTCTGCACCTTGTTCAATATTAATTCGCTGTAAAGAAGTAGTCTCAACATTTTCTCTTATGAACCGTTTCAATGTCAATTTTATACATTCAGCGAAGGGTCTGATGTGGGCTAATCACTTCCACAGCTTCGATTCTTCTCGTAAATCCCCTCATGTCCTTGTCTCGAAGGTAACCCTTTTTTATTCGACTGAAACTTCGCAATATAACGACTGTCACGATTAAGAGGTTCGATCACTCGATTGATACTTTAATCGCCTATTATTTTCCTTCTGGGATTCATCGGCTTTCGGCGCATCGCTCCATTATTTCCACCATCATTTGAAAACAAAATTTTCAGTAAATTATTG